AACAAATGGAGGGGAATATTGACCTGCGCCGATAGTAATGAGAAAGACATGATTATCGTACAAAGGAAATAGTGATATACTGTTATAAACATTGCCTATTGACAATATACATAAAAAGAGACGAAAGGCCACACCTGCAACATATAGTAGAAAGAAAGCATTGTTTGCCTTCTTTTTTCTTTTTCCTCTTTCATTAGAGATATAAGATCAGTAGCAGTAGCTTCTGCTTCTCCCTCCACCTGATGAACCAATGAACAGATTTAGTAAAGTTACAATAAAGTCAAAACATTAATAGAAACAATTTGAATGATTACAAGAATAACTACCTTCATGGAAGCATCTACATGAGCTGTTGCAATTAGCTCAAGAACCACCAATATGTAATAGAATGTCTCTAATAAAAGCGAATTATGTTGGAGAAAAACACCACAGGAACCACCAATATGGTGTGTTAAAACTAAAATCAAATCCATCACATTCTCTTCAAACAACAATTCCAAGAATCGATCTCTAAGAAGTACAAATTCAAAAGATAATCCAGCAACTCTCTGTTGTGTGGTGATGTCTTGAACAACTAAAATGTTGTGAAATAAAGTGACTACCAGCTGCACCAGTTTCCAATCATCCTCTGGGAATGAATCCTTGTTTCAAGCATACAAAATAATTCATTAATGTGTAAAAAATGAAAGCACCACAAGATCCAAACTTGGTGTACATATTACATACCCTTCCAAATGTTCAAGTGGGTTTTCAAGAAAGGTAACTATTACCGGGATATCATGACTGGAAGTGATCATGGACTTCAAACCCCAAAGATATTCAATCTGTTGTGGTATATCTTTAGATGTTGGATCAATTAGCATAGTTAGAAACACCAAAACCTTCACTGCAGTAGTTAATTGAAACAAAATTAGCTTCTTGTCAAATTTCTTTTCAAAATTACATGTTTGCCCGATATATAGGTGAGCATAAGATGTATCATTTTGTATTATTAAGAGAACTTAGGGTATTTGATGAATGAACATAGTCATTTTACCATACAGATGGGATACATCTCAATTTTGAATTTCTAATATTGAAATTTGACTCTTTCGATACATAACTATAAACCAACAGTTATAGAAGTAATCACCGGCATTAAGCAACAACGTCGTATCATTTTGACGATGTTGGATTATGGGTAATATATGTTTACTCACTATATTCCATTTACAAACTTGTTTGAACACTTCTCGAGTCTCTAGATCGTCTTGCCTTAGAAATCTCAGCAAATCCTTCAAATTATCTGCCCATCGATGATAGCAATTAAAAACTTATCGAACTATGGATATCATTGTGTATGCAAATTAACTCATAAAATGTATAGCTAAAAGTATTTGAGTGTTAGCAATGAAAAAATGTACCTAAACAGTATTTTCCTGAATCCAAAAGCAGATGAAGATGAGTTAGACAAAAAGCGATGACGGCGATGGGGATAATGAGAATACACACAATTAATGTGCAACTGACATCATCTTTCCAATCGACCTTCTTCAGACCTTCAAATCACTGTAATTAATAATAAAAATTCCATAAAAACTTTGAAGGAGAATAATAATATATGGTTATTCGGGATTTGCAAACGTTACTGCAACAATGGCATAAAATCCAACTGGAAACCACAAAAACCAAGCAGAGAGGATCAAACTGAGCCAAATAACCAATACCAGATACCAGGAAAAGAAAAAGATCGAATTTCTTACCTTGTAGTGAGTCCAACAGGAGCGATGGTCACTACTAGAAAACAGCCTTTTAATGACGCGCAAACAATGACACGCGTTGATAGAGGACACGCATTTGTGCGTGTGGTAAAAACTAATGTCAGTTTTCTAAAATTTGAAGGATAAAGGGCACGTATTTTTAGCGCGCCCTAAAATTAGTGTCCAAAAAAAACACGGAGGGCACTAATAATAAAGAGCGTGACATGTAACTGTGTCGTTTTATATTTTTTTTAGGAAGGCACATTCTCTGCCTGCCATGGGGGGAAATGAAATCCCAAAAAATTAAACACCTCGCCTAATCATCTCCTTCTTCTCCTTCTAAAATCCTCTCCCAAAAAACCCTAATAATCCTTTAAGCAGTTTCTCTCTCTCTCTCTCTCTCTCTCTCTCTCTCTCTCCCCCCCCCCTTTGGAATCAGATTCTTGAAAGATCGAAACCCTAATCGTATCCCTAACTACGATTTGTTATGTAAGTCTTTATCGATGTTCAATCGTGGCTCACGCCGACCATCGATGTTCAATCAATTTGTGTCTGTAGACGCGGGTGAAGGCGGAGAGAGAGAGAGAGAGAGAGAGAGAGAGAGAGAGAGAGAGAGACTCTGCACTTCTCCATCGATGACGTCCGATTGTGTTAAGCTTCATCCTTGGGCTGAAAACCTGTTGATTTTGTGCATATGCATCGCATGGCTTTTGAGAGTGAGCATGTCTCTGCACATTTACATGAATGGATAGATCTCATATTCGGGTGAGCCCTAATTCATTCATATTCTAATATCGGTGGGTTTTATTTTGTTTTGATGCTTTTGACTTTGTAAAAGGTTGAAATAAATCAATTTTGATATAGATAAAATCACTGATCCAATAAGTCTTCTTGTTAGTCGATTAATTAAGTTCTTTTTTTTTTATGTTTCTTTTCTTGATTCTTTGCATACACATGTAGCAGGCACCATCAGTTTATTAGCTCCTAAGTATGCACTCACTGGTTAGTTCTCTAATCTCCTTGTACAAGCATGGATGCTAGCACAACTTCTTTGTTAATTTTAGGGCCTAAATCAATTAGTGTCTCTTAATCTTAAGAGTTACATTGACTAGGGTTTCTTCATTTTTATATCTGGTGTTTCTGTTTCTTGACACAATGCTTGATTAACTCAACTAGGATAGTATTTCTCTTCTCATTCAGATAATCTTGAATCGTTATTTGAAATGTTTAATGAATTTTGTTAAACTGAAAAAACAATATACTCATAGTGAGATAATATGATATTGAGTGAAAATAAAACACCAACTGAGAATTAACTGAAATTAATAATCTAGTCTAGTAACTAAGCTAATTTTGTAACATTCGTAGCCTATAGTTTAATTGGACATGTCGGTAAAATGCTCTATCTGATTAAAATTCTTCAATGACATAAATAGCATATAACATATTTTTGCTCAAATTTATGCTGCAGAATTTGAGCCAGCAAAGTGATGTTGCAGATCTGTTGGGAGGTTTTAAACCTTTGAATGCACAGTTTCTATGCCTTCCCCTTTATCAGGAGTTTGAAAGTCTCTTTAGAAGTACCTTCTCCTTAAAGGTACAGTCTATCCAAACCCTAAATCCTAAACTTAAACACTAAACCCTGATGTCTTTTGGCGAACAAATGCAGGACAATGAGAATTTTCTTGCCATATTAAGAAAATCAGTCAGTGACAAGAATTGGAACGTGTTATTTAGTGGTTTACAAAAGGGTTTTCGTACAGTGGTCAAAATTGGAACGCAGAAGCCTGGTGTAAAAAGGAAAAGACCTTTAGGGGAAAAACTAATAAAATCATGGGAAAAATTCTCTTTAAAACTCGAAGCAGCTCATGGTCAGATTAATGCTTCAGATGGATGGTTTTTTTCATTTGTAGAGGGAGTTTTTATCACAACTTTTAAAAATGGTGATTGGATATTACATTTTTCTGAATATACATGGTGCTTTTATTTAAACATATTGACTTAAATGGAGATATGGTTGATATGCAGGTGTTACTCTTGGGGCAATGGAGATTGCAAGTTCATGTTCATTAGCTGAGTTGTCACTTTCCTTAGCCATAGAAGCTTCTAATAGGTTTACTCAATTATAACACTTGTTATCTACCGGTCTTATTTTGTGCTGATTGTGCAAGAAATATTTATTGTGCTGACCAACACTTCCCATAAACTGGGATTTAGGCTGCATGTGTTGGTGCTACAGCACGTATTATGCCTGGTATGTGTTGGCTTAATTCAGATTTTGGGACAAAAAGAGTCCCAGGGGTATTTTTGGAAAATTTTGGTTTTTTAAACGTTTTTGAGTTGTTTTAGGAGTCTAACTCTTTTAGTATATATAGGGGGATAAGTTGAAGTATTTTAGTTTTAGTTTTTACGTTCTTGTTTCTAATAAAGCTTGGTGAACAAGCGATTTTCCCAAAACCGTTCCTTTCCCCTGTCCACATTTCATTCTTCCCTGTTCACTGTTTCTATTTTGCTCTGCTCTTTTTTCTGTTCCCTTCTTACCTGAGTGCAATTCTGATTAAACCTTGGTGTACAAGGGTATATTCACAGGTTTCAACTTATAGTATGTATATCATCTCTAGTCTACTTTTTATTTGAATCATAGTCAAGTATATAGGAGTATGGTATATGCTGACATGGCAATTAATTTTAGGTGGAATCTGGGTCATTGACGGAGCCTTAAGCTCTAATAAGGTACACCACATCTACATCCACATCCATCACCGTTAATATTCTTTTTCATGCAATATAGAATAGACTGAGTATTCTTTTTCGTGCAGGTGCAGGCTAGTGCACTGATAACATATATTTGTCAAAACCTGATTACTGCTACAAAATCAGTTGGAAACAGCGATTACACAGTGGTGTTACGTGGTGATTCGACATTAAGAGGTCATTTTCCAGAGGTGAGTATACACACTTTATGGTAGCTTTTTCTTAAGGAACTTTTTAGAATATATTGGTCATTTTCCCTTTTTCTTATAGGAACCAGATGCAGTTGTTTCAGTACTTGGTGAAATGGATGCTTGGATCATTTGCCCTTTTTTTTTTTTTCTTACAAGGAGGTCATTTCACTATTGAAGATGTACATTTGCCGATTCTGATCAGTACTATACTTCAAAACCTCTTTTGTTTGACCGCAAAATATAAATCAATGTGTAAATCTTTCAACCTGACACTGTAAATGTCTTGGCTTATCCTTTTCCATTATCCTCATTAGACGTTAAATACTATTAAAGTCTTAAGTACACTATTTTAAAATTTTAACTGTATTTGGATACCAGTGGGTTGAGGAGAAAACTACAGGACGTATTCCAGCTATCAGTGTTTCATCAATCTCTATCCAACTGTTATGTAATGGAGGACCAACAACGGTCTGTGAGCATCTTTGCAATTTACAGAAGGTATATGGCACAATCAAATGTATTAGTTTACAAGAAATCTGTTATTATCAAAAGCTCTCTAAAGTTTTAATTTACATTTTGAGTAAATTACATTATTGGTCCCTGATTATTGTTGATTTTATCAATTTTGGTCCCAAAAAGTTTTCTCATGTAAATCTGCTCCTTATTTAGGTTTTTATAATGTTTTTCGTCCCTATTCAAGTAGAATGACTGTTTTTTGGACCAAAACTGAAACAATCAGCTATCTTAAGGACTAAAAATAGTCATTTTACTTGGAACAGGGACAAAAGTCGTTACACGAACCTTAAATAAGGACCAAAAGTCAAGAAAAAACTTTTTGGGACAAAAATTACAAAACTCAGCTATACACAGGGACAAAAAATTTAATTTTACTCCTACATAGATAGAAAGTAAGAATTTTGAGTCCCTTATATGTTTAAGTTGTAGGCCACCAATAACTTCAGCTATACTTTTTTTTCTTTTTTCTTTTTTGTTTATGTGTATTTATATTTTTATTTGTTTTTGGAAACGCATGTTGAAGATCACCACCTTTATTCGGTAAACTATATGCATTGGTGCGACCTGAATATGTGGCATGGAGTAGCCCGGAAGCCATGTGAATGCCTTAGAAGATGCAATGAGGAAGCATCTATCTGTTTTTTTTAAGGAACAAACAGATCTACTCCATCAACTCCTAAGATTTTTTTTTTCACAATAAGTAGTGTCTGGATATAGTGTTGGATAATGAATAAATGATTTAATCTTAATAGGTTAGTCAATTGAGCTTTAAAATTTTGAAGTCTGAAGGGGTCCCAGTTTGTCGAGCTTCTCAGGGTTGTGGAGAGTTTATTATTACTTTTCCAAGGGCATATCATGCGGGATTCAGTTGTGGTTTTAACTTTGTGGAGGCTGTCAATGTGGTGCCTGTTGATTGGCTGGAACATGGACAAGGTGTTGTCGACATGTACAGTCAGCAAAGACGAAAAACATCAATATCTCATAAGTTGTTATTAGCTAGAGAAAGGATTAGGGCTTTATGGGAAGCTTGATTTTTGAATAAAGAAACTTGCGAGAATTTATATTGGAAACATGTTTGTGGGAAGAATGGGATACTCACCAATGCTGTCAAGGTAAAAAAAAACTTTATTTATTTATTTATTTGTTGTTTTCTAATGTTCTTTTAATATGATAATTTCAAATGAGAGTTGAAATGGAGCTAAAAAGGATCCAGCACCTTCAAACCAGTTTTCAGTTTCAAAAAATGGAAGATGATTTTGAAAAAACTAATGAAAAAGAATGTTATCTATGTTTTTATGACTTGCACATGTCAGCAACCACCTGTACATGCTTGCTAGATCGCTTCGCGTGTCTAAGACATGGGTGCTCTATAGATTTGAATCTTGATAACATTGGTTCAACAAAAGTAGAGAATAATGAACAATTTGATAATATTGGTTGAATTTGTTGAAGGTATCTGAATGAAAATAGTAAGCAGTCCTTACATGTTGATGTCATGCATTTTTTTGACTTGGGCTCTTTTTGGTTTGGTTTGGTTTTCAATGTTATTCATTGCATGCATGCTAAAATAAACACTAAATAGTTTGATAATCTAGAAAACAACCAACCTTTTATTGTTTTGACAGGAAGTTGAAGTCGCTTTCAACAATGGATCTTTTTTACTTTGGATGTTTTCTTATGCTGGCTTCTGGAATTATTCTATTACAACAAACAGGTTTAGTAAGGGAATCTAGTCCTTAATCAATTGTTTCTGTTCTTAGGTTTGTTTGTGGTTCATTCCTAAGACCTACCATTGATTAGACTTACATGGATCAAATGTAAAACTTCAACCAAGGGCAGCATGGGAATAACTCAGCAACAAGACCTGTTATTGATGAGAAATTACATATAAAGTAGATAAACTAAGGAACTTGTTCATACATGTTGTACTGGTATATATTAATTAACTTTTCTAATGTTGTTCTTTTACAATATTGTTCTTTTACAGGTGGTTGGAATTGGACCTAAAGTTGGTTGCTGATATAGGAATAGTGGGTGCTCCAAATGTAAGAAAAATCATGTTTTTAAGTGTTATTAGTGTTAACATGTAGCGTTGTTTGACATGTAATGTTAGGTAACTTGTTTGGCATCTGATTTTTTTCAAATGAATTTTTGTTAACGATTATTTGTATGACATTAAATTTATGCAATGGATTCTATTTTTTGTATATTATATTTTAATTTCTATTATGAAACATTTAATACAAATTTAATTTGAAAATAAGTAAATCTATAAATAATATTTTTTTTAAATAGTTAAAATTATGATACGCAAAAATGTGTGTCATCTTCATTTATGACATGGCTTTTCTTGACAGGGGCTTTCAGGATACGCATTGCGTGTCATTACCACGCACGTCGTAAGGTTACGACACGCGAATGCGTGTCGTCTTCCTTTATGACAGGGCCTTCCTTGATACGCATTGCGTGTCGTAAACGTGCGTCGTAATTGCACGTCGTAAATGCGCGTCGTCTTTCTTTATGACAGGGCCTTCCTTAACGCGCATTTGTGCGTCGTCTAAGCCTTTTACGACGCGCAATGAGCATCGTAAAAGGCTGTTTTTCTAGTAGTGGGTCTTCATCAAGCCCTAATCGCAGGTCCAGATGAGGAGGCTGATGATGGTGGTGATCGATTGCACTCATTCCTAATCGCAAGTCCAGATAAGGCGGCTGATGGTGGTCGACGCCCTCCGTATCAGACCACACAGTTGACAAATTTTATGAGTATCGGTTCACATTAGAGGAAGTCATCGAGGTTGGAGAACGCCGCTATCACAACCGCTAAACAACGGAGGCAGACAAAAGTTGCATATAGGAGGGCGAATGAGAGGGAGGAGGGGGCAACCGATGAAGAGAAAGAAGATTAACAAAGATCAGGGTTGGTATAATTCCAAGGAACAAATCGGTGGATATTCATACTAATCTAATTGTTATTGGTCACAATGGCGGTGTCATCATACAGAGGAAAAAAAAAAAGGAGGAGCAGGAAAAGAGACGTAGAAAGCAGTTTGACAAATAAAGACATCTGTAATCCACTTTGAGTCCAATATAAAAACTTAATAAGCTAAAGAACAACAAAAAAAAAAAAAAAAAAAAAAAAAATATATATTTCATCCAATCACATGAAAGTCCTGTTCATTAGGCACTAGTATGTATATATAATGTTATAATAATTATTATTTAGATATGTTGAGAAATTACATGAATTTCATAAGAATAAGGTATCATTCAAATTATATATATATATATATATATATATATATATATATATATATATATATATATATATATATATATATATATATATATTTGTTGAGTATCTTATTTAAATTTGAGTAAAATATGAATAAAAAAACAACATTAAATTTATTTAGAAAATTTAGAAAATTTTGAGAGATTTCTTGTTAGTTCAAATGTTATAAATAATAATTATTAAGATATGTTGAGAATAGTGATTATGAATCTAATATTATTTTTATTAAATATTTTTTGAATTTATGTATATTGATATGATGGGTACAAAAGCCAAATTTCATGTTTTATTTAAAGATTAACGTACAATAAAAAAAAATACGCATCTTCATTTATAGCTTTTTGAATAATTTCTTTTCCTTATAAATAATTTGTTTTCCTTATAATTAGATATTTAAAAGTATTTAACTGATTAAGCGTTGTATACCTTATCGTTCCTATACCCTTTAAACATTGGCATTTATCACAGAAAAGGGTTTTTATGTTTTTTTTTTTTTTTTAAAGTTAGGGTTCTCAAAAGCTTGGGTTTCAAACGAAAATATGCCTTCAGAGCAAGGATTAGGTGATAAACCTCTTTTAAAATTGATATTAAGGTTTAGAAAAACAACTAAAAGCTCAAAGAACATTGATCAACAATATACTTCTTCAAAGCATTATCCAATTTCGAAAAAGATTGATTAACAACATACTTCTTCAAATCGTTATCAAAAAACTTATAAATGGTAATTTTATATTTTCCTACAGAATTTTTGTGTTTGTGTTTTGATATTTCTCTTTTAAATAAATACACATTATGTTAATATATAATCTATGTATATTAATTTGATTTTTTTTTATCTTATTTAAACTTTTAAAATTTCAGAAAAAATAGAATCACCAGAAAGCACGTGATAGACAAAGTAAAAATCAAAATTACAAAGGTAATAAATAGAAGAATTATTTCTTTATTTTTAATATACAAAATATATTATTAATTTAACTATTTAAAAAATATTTTTTGCAGCTTCTTTGAATACTAATATTGCAAAAAGGAAGAAAAGTGATATTGTTAACGAAAAATCTGATTTTGAAAAAGAGCAACCAAATCTACAAAAGAAAAAAAAAAAAACAAAAGAAAGAAGCATACAGAAATGTAGTTTTGCCTGGAGAAGAGAAAATACAATTAGTGATAACTCATCACCAAAATCAATGTTTAAAATTATAAAAAAAACTTAGTTTGGAGCAAAAGAATTGTGTTAAAGAAAATGGCTTTAAAGGTTTATGGAAATTGGAACTTGATGAGTTGCCTTCAGCACTTGGTTTCTATATTGTTAAAAACTCCGATAGAAAAAAAATGGTACTCAAAGTTACAAATGGAGAAATTAAGGTTGACACGAAAAGCTCGAATGAGATGCTTGGAATTCCAGTGGGTGACAACAAAGTTGAAGAGCTTGATTTTCGACCTAAAGAAGAGGAATGTTATAGTAAATGGATAAGCCAATTTGAAAACAAGAAAACATTAGACTGAATAATATCAAAAATGCAATTATATCAAAAAAAGAGGTTGATTTCAACTTCAAGTTTAATTTCATTGTCATGTTTTGTAACACTCTGGTTGAAGGTACATCCATGGGAAAAATCAATGAGAGTATGTTAAAGAAGATTTCAAGCAAAACGGATTTTTCAAAAATTGAATGGTGTGGTTACATAATTGATTTGTTGATTGATAAGACACAATCATATGAAGCACATAATTATAAAGGTTACTTCTCTGGTCCATTGCCATACTTACTGAAATTACTTCTTTTTAAAAAAAATTGACTATAACATACAAATTTGACTATTTTCTATATATGCAGCTATTGTATGTTGGCCATGTTGTCTTTGATGCACAAAATGATTCAAGATTACGTCTAGCCATAAAAAATTAGGATTCTATCAAGATGAAAAAAATAAGAAACTAGGGAAATGAAAATTTGAATGTTTGGAACATGAAAAGTTCTTAAAAGATTGGAAATTACAACAGATAAAACCATTAAGGTAAAAATATATTTATGAATATATATATATATATATATATATATATATATATATATATATATAAACTTATATGTGTATGCTTTTATAATCACATTTGATCAATATAAAAGATATTAAAAAAATATGATTTTTCATATATGAATTTTTTACTTTATACAAGATTATTTGACAAGTTTGACAAAAACTTTTGGAAATATTTCTAAGATGAAAAATAAGTTAAAGAAATTAGAAAAAGCATTATCTGAATTTGATTTAGTAAATGAAGATGGAGAGAAGTAGACAATTCAGCAAATAGTTGAAGAAGTTGAAGCTATTAACAAAACAAATGCTAAGGTTGACATTAAATGTGATGAACTTGACAAAATTATGGATAAATTGAGTTTCCTGAAAGAATCAAAATATAGTGGGGAAGAAATCATTTATTGTCTTAATATCACAAAAGCATAACTTAATGAATTTGATGCCTTGCTTAAAAAATCAAAACAAGTACCAAAAGTATATTCTTAACTTTGACAGTGAATTTTAATTTTTAACAACATAACTTAATTTTATTGTTTTTCTAGGCCAGAAAGTGAAGGAATCTCAGGCAATCAGAAATGGAGTTGATGTAATTGATAGAGTTAGAACTAGAAAAACTTCTGAAAGGATCACCAAGAACATGTTAAAGAAAATTGAAATGGAAAAGAAAGAAACAAGAATGTATTCAAACAACCTCTTACTTTTAAATAAAATGTTAGGATTTAAGTAATTATGTATGCTATTTCGGAAATTTTTTTAGTATACCCTTTGTTTTGTAAAAACTATACAATATGCCCTTAATACTATATAAACGAAATAATAAGTTTGCAAATGTAGAATCTTCATATTTGGCATCATTGACTTGATAACCATAGCCCTGTGTTTAGACCAGTGTGCTGCATTAAATGATTTTATATTGGGTTCAAACTACATTTTGGCCCTAGATTTAGTATAAGAGAGGCAGTTACCAACTTCTATAATATCTTGTCACAACTAGCATTTTAGTTAGGAAATTCTATTATCATGTAAAACATCGTCTATTTTAAAACTTGTACTTTAAGTAAATATCATACTCTATGCTCACTCAGATACACTTTATATGTTCAACTATGGGTTAAAAACCCTAGAAATCCCGGTTCAAGTTTAATATGAACTAGGATTCTCTTATTGATTCTAATGGACCAATAAACTTTCAAATTGATTGTTTTGTGCCTAGGAACCCTAGTTGGGCTCTAATTGGACCCGCATTCATAAAATTTTAGCATTTTTATCCATGTGAGCCTAGAACGATGCATCTTACCTCTAATAGGCCTTGTTGGGCCATAAATGATTACATTTTCCCTAATGGACCGTAAAACCTTTCTATTGGGCTTTATTGGGACGAGAACCTTAATAAAAGCCCAATGTGTCGAAAATTCTTATGAGGCTTCATAAATTCGAATAAGGCCAAGAATATGCCCAAAGATCTCTTCATCTTCCTTCCTTTTAGCCCAAATTCTTGGCCCATTAATTAGACAAAAAAAAAGAGAAAAATAAGGAATATTGTGCTTGTGACACCTCATGTTTGCATGATGGTTTTCCATGAAAACATCACCTCAATCTTCTCTTCCTCTTTCTACTTTTACCCTTGGCCGAAACCCCCACCATACACCTCCATTTTTCCTTTCAAACACCTCCAAAAATCTCTTAAGAACTCATCCTCCTTCCTCTAAATTTTCTAGATTTGGTGTGTAGTTTCAAGAGGTTTTTCATCTAGCATTATCTACTTGGTAAGTTGTTATCATACATATGTCATTGATTTCCATTTTAAGCCAAGAACACCCCCTTATATGGTTCATTTCGTGCTCTAGCTCCCTTGGATCATTTAAGTTTGAAAATCATTCTCAAAAGGTATCCTAAGGCCGAGATCTTCCCATATCTTCATCAAAAATGAAATCCAAACCTCAAGGTGAGTTCATACCCCCTTTATTTTCAGTTTTATATGATTTTTGGGGGAGAATACAAGGTACTATGTGATAAATCTAAGTGTTATGCATGTTATGTGTGTATTTCTTGATTTAAGATGTGATTATGTGTAAAAACTCTATAGATCTCGAAAATCTCTAACCAAAAGTAGTGTTATACATGTGAAGATACTTAAGAAACTAAACAAATTTTGAAAAAGGGATCATTTTTGACAAATAAATAAAAAGTTGAGATTTTCAAGTTGTTTACGGTTTTGGAAGGACTAAAAGAGTCAATTTATTTCAAAAATGGGTCTTAATGACATTCATGATTTAAAAAGGGCCAAAAATGAGAATTTCGCATAATTGGCCATATTATGGGCCTTACGAGTTTCTTGCGCATAAAATGTGAAAATCTTGATTTTTATGGATCAAATTGTCATTTTATACAAAAATGGGTTGAAAATGTAAAGCTTTGGATTTATGGGCTGAAAATGCCACTTTCTTTG